CCATAATAGTAAAGAAATTGCTACTGCAGCCTTTGGAAACATCTTTTAGTGTGGTACTGGTACTTCTCTGATAAAGTACACTTTAAACAAGACAGTCACATAGGTATGTCTAAAATTTCAAGTATGAACACTGCAACTGAACTGATAAACTGGATATCAGATATAGATATATATTATATACTATATATTACATATTTCATATCCTATGTTATATATATTTAAGGATAATAAATCCTTAGATTAACCATAGCACCTCCTTACACCTTACATGAATTTCATAAAAATATAAAGTGTGAACACAGAGGTGGAATGGCAGCCGACTTTCTGAAAGCTTCTATTGAAATTAAGCATAATCTCAAGCTGTGGTGCAGCCATTAGATTAGCAGGCAGCACCCCCCAACTGAGAAGTACAATGGTCCTGGTGGTGAAGAGCAATACTGTCCATTGCCCTATCCATCATGCAAGGTGGAGCATTCTTCATGTCTCCTGACTCTTTTGCTTTTGGTTATATGAGGTAGCTTTGAAAAGGAAGATTATTGAATGAGCTATGATCTGGAGTATTATCTTCTCACTGTATATATCCTTAACAACAGGAGCCTTTGATGCAGCCTGTTTCCAACTGAGGTTCTGAGTTAGTGTCCTGTAAGTGTCCCATAGACCTGGAGAACATCATGCAAACTTCTTCTTGGTGGCCGTGAACCTCTCCATGTGCTTATCAGAGCCTTCCAGTGCTTGAAGTTTCTTTATTTCACAAAGATTGCTTTCCACAGCAAGCAGACAGGTCTGGGAATCACTGAGGATGCTCTGTGGAAGTGTGCTGAGTTCAAGACGGTTCTCTTCCAGGAGAAGAACTTAAAGGCAAGGACCGCAAGATAGCTTTACTGGGAGCTGAGCTATCTGGTTCTGGTTGAGGTTGAGTTCCATGAACTGCAGCTCCCGCACTTCATCAGATATACTCTGAATCCTGTTCTTAGAGATGTTACCACATCTAGCTGTCAAAGGCTACAAAATTGGGGTGGTGGTACTCCCAGTTAGTTCCCAGAGAGGCTCTGCGTCTTGAGGACAGAGAGTTGTCTAAAGGTAGATGGCGGTTCTCTCAGGTGATTGTTATTTAGGCTAAGCAGCTCGAGTTTTTTCAGATCGCCAACTCATTAGGTAGAACAGTTTGTTGCTGTTCAGGACAGGCTCTTCAACAGAGCGACTTCTCTACTAGCAGAGGCAGGAGACTTGATCTTGTTGTTGGACTGATGGTCCTAAGGTTGTTCATCAGCTTCTGTAACTATGAGGGGAACTTGGTCAGCCCATGGTCCTTAAGCTGAAAGACACCAGTTTTCTGTGCCATTTCCATTTGAGTGTGGAGGGCACTGTTTCCCATACTAGGGCAACACTGCGGGTGCTTTCTGCAATCCTTGGATCCTGGGCACCAGCCAAGAGAGGCAAGGAAGAAAGTGAAGAATACATAGCCAGATCCCCAAGTCCTGTGGCTTTTGCAGCTCAATTAGGTTTGCCTCTGGGAGCCTCTGGAGGACCAGGAAGCCCCAGACTCACTCACCTCTGGCCAATCAGAAGAGAGAAGGCTTCTCAGGAGAAGCCCCAGGCCGTACTTGCCAGAGATGTGCCCCAGGGCTTCTGCCCATGGGATACTTGCCAGAGATGTGCTCCCAGGGCTTCTGCCCATGGGATTCTAAAGGATTATTTTTAAGGCAATATAGCTTGACTCTTTTAGAAAGAGTTGAGCTCCAATATCTGCAGTATGTTAAGTATGGGGTATTGTATAAGTCATTTTATCTCTCATTCCTTAATCCCTTGTTTCCACTGCAGATAGTAAAAATTCAACAATCTATGGTAGTTATGAATGAAAATTTGCACATAATGTGCTTATCCCTGACACTCAGCACTCAGTAGATGTCAATGGTCACTTTGTTACTCAAAACCATCACTGACACCATAACATCCACCCAATGATGTGACTCTGGCTAGCTCTAAATCCCACTTGCATTCATAGACTTTTTTCAGCTATGAGTGCTTAAGTGTTCTCTATACCCTTTCACTTAGCTATGATGTTCTTTACTTTCCAGTTTGTCTTATATTTATTAATTTAATTCCCCTTGTCTTAGTCAACATTTTGTCAGTTACAGTTGACATATTCTTTTCATAGCAAGTTAAGTACAAATCATTAACTCACATGGGCGGGGGGTGCTAGCCAGAGGCTGGAAGCTCTTGGGAACTTCCACAGAAGATATTTCCTCAGTCACTCTCATTCTGAAGCCCCATGGACTCCACTTCTTTATCAGCTTCATTTTCTGACACTGCACATTGGCTTCTTTGCTTCTCTATGAGCCCAGAAGTAATGTGCCTTTCTCATTCACAGTTCCTTTTTCCATCCACTTAGTTCTACACACAGATCAAATAACTCTGTACCCTAATTCCAAGTTTCTAGGAAAGAGAATATGTTGGGCATCCCTTCAGTTATATCAGCCGGGCTGGTCACACTATAGAAGCACTGCTGTCGGAAGCTCCCGTATGTGTACCAGGCAGTCCTCAGAGAAAGTTTATTCAGGGTAAGATTCTCTGAAGATGTTCAATACATCAGAAATAAGTTCTTTACACCATGAAGTAGTATTTTTATCACCTTGATATTTTCTCACTGTTCTTGAAATTGTCCCTTGCTTCATCCACTTTGTTTTTTTGTTTGTTTGTTTGTTTGTTTTTTGGTTTTCTCCGGTACCGGGAACCTAACTCACGACCTTGCGCTTGCCAGGCAGGCGCTTTTGCCGCTGAGCTAAATCCCCAGCCCCTTCATCCACGTTTTGAAGCAATATTAATATAATAAGTGAACTTCAGCTGAGTGTGGTGGCACATTCCTGTAATTCCAGCACTCTGGAAGGCTGAGGAAGGAGGGTCACAAATCTGAGACCAGCCTGGGCAGCTCAGGCTCAGTGAGACCCTGATTCAAAATTAAATTTTTTTTTTTTAAAAAAAGCTGAGGATGGAACTCACGCAAAGGTCCCGATTTAATCCCTAATATTGCTAAAAATAAATATCAATTTTATTTAGGCTATAGAGATGATGTAGGCTTGAATAAGAGCTGTAAGACTTTGTAATGCAGGAAAAATTTTTGTCAAAAAATAAAGAGAGTTGAACATGTCTAAACAAGAGAACTCTGAAAAAATGCAGGCAATCATGAATTCATCTTTGGTCAAATTTCATTTTGTGTAAAGCTATGGGTACTTTGGAAAGCATTATTAAAGAAAGACACTGATAGACTAAAAGATACTCATACAGCATATTGATAAAGGTGGTAAGAGGATTACAGAGTATATGTGAGTTTCCTAGAGCTGCTGTAACAATGTAGCAAAAAACTGTGACTTAAAACAATACGAATGTATTTTTTTCATAGTTCTGTAGACCAGAAGTCCAAAATCAAGGTATTGATGGGCCAAGTGTCCTCTAAAACTGATTTAGGGGAATCCTTCCTTGCCTATTCCTAGCTTCTGGTGTGATTGTCAGTCTTTAACATTCGTGTTTTA